ACATCAATACATTGGCAGTGTTGCTGCTAAATAAATGCTTCCAGGAAATGGTTGATAACATGGGTCAGAAGAGTAGCTACCTGCCTTTGTTATTTGGAAACAAGCAGTGAGTACTGTGGAAGCTCCTTTCTTGCTAGCTCTACTTATAATAGTTGGCTAGAGCTGAAGACTTGCATTTTTATACATCTTGGGAGCAAATGCCAACTATCCCTATGTCTCTTAGTGTCCCAAGTGGATCACAGAATGCACATTCATACAAATTGCTTTGGAGCACAGAGATGGTTTCAAGCTGCACTGTTGTCTGTGCTCAACAGATGCATGCTTAAAAGATGTGCACAAGCTGCTTCTTTGGGAGTTAACCACAGAATAAGCATGCTCAGCCTTGTAGTGCATCTTCTGCCCCTGTTGTGCTCTAAGGTGTAAGCTGGTTCCCTTCCAGGAGTGGAGACCACAGCTAAGTTTGGGACCAGGAAGGCATTCTTTTCTATTGTCTGTGCAAATATTGAAACAGTGACATCTCTGTTGTTGGCCGCCTCCTTTATTCAAAATTCCTGGTTCTTTCAGTTCTTTTATTTCCCACACACTTCCACTTCTCTTCCTTGCTTTTTTACTTTCACTTGGTTATTGCTCCTGCAGCTTTCTCCTCCATCCCTAATACCATCTTTGTGTTTTATTTTCATGAAGGGTTGATTGTTTCTTGTTCTGCTTTCCTTCAATGAAACCAACTGGCATTAAAAAAACCTGCCTTGTTCATGGCCACATCAAAACCTTTTAATATTTGGTGATGCTCCGAAATATTTTGGAACTGGCCCACAAATTTTGTTCCAAGCTGGAAGCTCCCCAGCTTTCAAACAGAGGGGAAGAGCTCTTAAAACCATGCTGCCAGCTTGAAGCATATTTACACTAAATGGTTTCATATTGTCAGTGAGTCCTTTTTGACCTTGATGTCAGTACAGAGGCTAGTCCATTCTTCATCCTTCCTGGGTGTGAGGCAGAGTGAGAAAGAGCTGGATATGCTCCAGTGACAGTTAGAGGACCTGTAAGTGTTGTAGACTTTGTTCCCTATCCGTGGGTCCACCTTCTCCCCATTTTTTGCTAGCTTTATACAAGCACAGCTTCAAGACTTGTTGGAGAGGAGCACAGGGCCCATAACTTGCAAAGTAATTCTATTGCAATGACATGGAAGTTATATTTCCCATGGCTTTTTAAAGACATGTTGAGTTGCAATCCAAGCTGCACTGACAAATCCTTTTAGGAAACCCAGAGGAATATTGGAATGGAAATGGCTAACTTGGAACAATTAACTTGTCATTACTTTTTCGTTTGAAAGAGGCATTTTCCTTTAAACGTTCCTTGCTATGTTGGGAAATAGGAGAGCTGGGCAGTAATCCCCTAAGCCTGTTGTTGATCTGCTTTAGCTCTAAGCATATTTGATGCCCCTTGTCTTTCCTTAAATTCATCAGGCTGTGCTCTGTGTGAGGGCATACTCAGTTTGGTCACTGTTGGGTCTTCAGAGCATCTTGCAACGTAAGTAAGGATGTGAAAAGTAGGCAGTGATGGCTCTCCTCTTGTGGAGAAAAAAAATAAAACCAACGTGGTCCCCCAAAAAAGGCAGGTAAGGAGAGGTCTGCTTCTTGAAACTGTGCCTGTGTGAGGATACTCGTTCTTTCAAGAGTCTTTACAGTTTCAGCACCATCCTGTGGGATTTGAAAGACAGCTGTGAAATATACCCAGAACCTTGTTCCTTTCTATTTGAAGCTGTCTGGGAAAGCTGTGAGCAGCAAAAAAGACACCAAAACTGTCTGTCTGCAGAATCAGCAAGATGGTCAGGAGACATCTATGTTGTTCTCTGACTCGAGAGGTTATTTTTGCAAACATATGGCCTGAAGTTAAACACTGGTTTTTAACTACGGTTGATTTCTGTGTCCATTAATGGTGTCTCCTTCTTTTTTTCTTCAGAGAAATATTTATATTTGTACAGAAAAGGGAGATGTTCAAGCTGCACGGCAACAAATTTCACCTTAAATTGCTACTTTTAAAGTTCTTTTTCTGAATCAGCCCTCAGATTTTAGTCTCAAAGTGGTAAAAATACAAATCTCTCCCTGCAAAATCACTTCAGCGTATTTCTGCAGCTAGCAACTTGGATGGGCCTGTTAACGTGGAAAGATGAAACAAATAAGTCCCCATGTGCCCTTCATCATTTTAGTGTCTTTTTTCTTGGTAATAAATGGTAGTTCATACATCTTACTCAGCTGGGCTTCTCTGCACTCCTTTAACCGTAACTTGAAAAAAGCCTAATTGCAAAAAAAGCAATCTGCTTCATTTTTCTTAAAAGAAAAACTGTCAGCAGAGTAGGAATTCAGAAACAATACCACTCTGTAATTCATTGTAAGCTTTCAAAAAGACAGAGGGTATCACTGAGCATCCCCTGCACGCAGTGATTTTAGGAAGGAACCGTTCATGAGTAATTTCAAGAATGGCTTTTCTTATATTATCGTAATCTAGTGATGTTTAGGCATGCAGAGAGTGTCCTTGAAAGACTAAGGATAAGAGGAAGGGAGGAGATGAAAAATTAAGCCTGAACTAAGGGATTTGGAAAGAATTTCAAGCTTAGAGTAGTATCCAGGCATATTCATTTAACCTTCAAATGAACCGGCCATATTTTTCCTTCTCAGCAAAGTAACACTTTCAAGTCTCGAAATATGACTTTGAGGCTGAGATCAATGCTGGTAATGTTCTCATAACACCAACTCCCACTGGAGGTGAAACAGGCAAGGAGGGGACTGGTGGTTTATTCAGAGATTCCACACAACACAGCAGGCAAGTGATTTCTGCACGAACTGTGCTTCCCTAAATGGGACAGAGAATTCTGTGGCAGGGGTTAGAGGCTTACCAGCTCCTACTGACCCAGCACCTCCCAAAGCCAACAAATGGCTCTCAGCCATTTCTGTTCCACGGTCTGTGAAATCCAGGAGAGGTGCAAGCTACTTGGAACAATTTACAGATCAGAAGTAAAAGGAGAAGTGTGTTGTCAGTAGGTGTAAATTTGCCATGCAGGAGTCTGTGCTCATGTTGGACAAATAAGAAAAAAATCCATACATTGAAAATCATTAAAATTCATTAATCTTGATTCATGTAACTAGCCTGGAAGGGCGTGAGGAAACCGTGAAATGAGCTATGACTTGAAGTCCTGAGTTACAGATATTTGATTTTGCACTGATTTGTAACTGCTCTTAGTATTACATAGCAATGCAGCAGATGAGAAATCACGGTCAAAAGACCTTAAGTGCATTTATTATATCTACATTCGTGCATGTGAAAACATTGGTCTTCAAAGCATTGTATGAACACTAACCAGCTAATGACTCCCCATGCAAAGTCAAAGTGATGGCTATTTTTAATGCACTTATTTTCCATTTGTGCCCATGAAGGGCTGTTTTGTGCCATGAGCTTATTTAGCCAAGCAAGAAAGGGAGAAGAATTAATGTGGAGAGGGAAGGAAGCGGCGGATGTGAAATGGTTTGACCAGGTTCCCTGTACACAGTTAATGGACAGAAAAGGAGCAGGTGAAGATGAAGTTTGAAAGCCATAAAACAATGGAAGGGAGGGAAAATACTGAGTTGATTATGAGGTATAAGTATATCCTCAGGGCTGGGTACTAATGGTCTTCTCAGACTAGCAGAGAAAAGCATAAAAAGGACCAGTAGCAGGTAAATTCAAGTAATTCAAAGCCTGATTTTTTTACCAGTGAGAGGATTACTGTTTGGAATGAGTCACAAAACCAAATGATGAACTTCTCATCTCTTTTATTCAAAGGCAGGAAAAGATTTGGAGGACACGCTTTGGATGAAACTTAGAGCAGGTGCACAACCTCTCTGCGGGCAGCGGGTAGATACGCACACTGAACCTTCCTGGAGCACTGCGGAGTGCAGCTGCTGCTTCTGCTTCAATAGGGTGAGAGGCGATGGCTTTCAACTGCACCAGGGGAGGTTTAGGTTGGATAGCAGGAAACATTTCTTCTCTGAAAGGATGGTGACACAGCTGCCCAGGGAGGTGATGGGGTCACGTTCCTTGGAGGTGTTCATGAACTGTGGAGATGTAGCACTGAGGGATGCGGGCAGTGGGCAGTGGTGGTGGTAGGTGGCTGCTTGGATTGGATGATCTTACAGCATCTTCCCAACTTTAATTCTATGGCTCTGAGGCTCCGAGTGAACGAATACCTGTGGGCAGAACAAAATGCTGAAACCCACAGACAGGATTCATCCCTCTGCAGCTGGAGACCCACAGTTTTGTGCTTTGCAGACACCATTTCAGGACACCTTTCTCAGTGACATTAAGGCTGGAGCTACCAGCACACAGAGCAATCCCTCAGCCCTGCGCACAGCTGTGGCTTTTGCACCCTGAGCTTTGCAGGTGGGCGCGTTCCAGGATGCGGGCTGTGTCAGCTCTCCATCCCTCATGGAGAGCCATGAGAGCGTGCAGAGGAGGGGCACAAAAATGGGATGGAACATCTCCCTACGAGGACGGGTCGAGCGAGCTGGGGCTGTGCAGCCTGGAGCAGGGAAGGCTCCGAGTTCTTAAGGCTGTAAGAAAGAAGGAGATAGACTCCTTATCGGGGGCTGTCGTGATAGCACAAGGGGGAAACGGCACTGTGCTGATACCCCTCAGTGGGGTATCAGTGACCGGGCAGCCGCTCACTTTTTGGCGCCCACCATTTCACAGCCACAACGCGGCCCTCCCCGCTCCCTCCAGCGTAGCGCCGCGCCGCGCCGGGGCTGGGCGGGCACGGGCGCGAGGGAAGGGGAGGGGGGGGAAGCGGCCGCGCCGGGCGCTGCTGAGCCCGTCCTGCACCAGGCGGCGGAGTCAGGCAGCCCCGGCACGAGCTGCGGCGGCCGCGCTTCCTCCTCCTCTTCATCCTCCTCCTCCTTATCGTCCTCATCAGTGCCCGGCTCGGTTCCGCGTCCCGCCCGGCCGCCCCGCGCGCGCGGCTCCCGCCCTCTATGGATGGGAAAGCAGCACCCAACGGCGTGGCCACCATCGAGGACAGGATCTTACGGATCACGGGCTACTATGGATATTACCCGGGCTACTCCAGCCAGAAAAGTAAGGCTCTCACCGTGCCTCTACCTCCGTGCTGGGCTTCTCTCCGCCAGGTGCCGAGCGGGGGATGCTGGGGGGGGGGTACAGCCATCCTGCAGCGGCGCTCGGGAGGGATGCGGGGATTTGTATCTTTTTGGGGGCTTTTTTCTGTTTTTTTTTTTTAATTCCCTCCCAGCTCAGCGCTGCTCCGGGAAAGTTTGGGTGGCGGTGGAGGGGCCTCGGAGCCTCAGCATCCCCTGATGGTTCTGTTTCCTCGCCAAAGTAATCAGATTTTTCCAGAAAGGTGGAGGGTGATTGGGAGATTCGGCTTCGCCTCGCTTTAACCGAGTGAGGATTTAGTGCTGTAGTGGATTTCTATGGGGTTGGGCATGTCCCAGCCCTCCGTGGAGTGTTCCACGGTGAAAGTTCCTCTTAATGAAAGAAATTATTCTTTTTTTTTTTTTTTTTTTTTTTTTTTTTTTTTGATACCGCGGGGGGGAAACCGATCCGTTCCGTGGTCTAAGAGTTACTTTGCACTTTGCCGACGCTTAGGAAAGGGAAATGGAGGCGGAGGGGAGAAAAAAAAAAGAGGAAAAGGCAAAAAAAGAAAAAAAGGAAGGGAGAATAGAAAACCCCAAGCAGCCGGTGAGGTGCGGGGAGCACGCTTGGCTCTGCGTGTGTGAACTCCCCTTGGAATCGACGGAGGTGAGCTGCTTCCAGAACGGCGCAGTGCTCTCCAGCCGTAGTACACCGGGAAACAGCGGCACAGCCGAGCTGCTCCTGGCAGACGGACACCTCTGAGGGCTTTTTGTAAGAGAAAAAAAAAAGAAAGCAGTGCATTGAAAATAGTCATAAGATTGCCTTGTGTGTCGTTAAAGCAGGTGGTGGAGATGGTGGGTGTGAGGGCCCCTTGCTGAGGTCAGTTGCAGTTAGGAAGGAGCTGAGAGCCATCTGCAGGGATGGATGCATGGGAGTGTGAGCCAGGTGGGACTCTGTCCTGCATTCTGCAGGAGCCTGACAGATGGACCAGAGAAAGGTGAGGGCACCAGCTTTGTACTTAGTCACAAGTTTGCTTTGGTTGCAGAATGCAGTTTTTTCAGCTTGCAGCAACACTCCCACTCTCTGTCAAAATGCAGACCCGAATTCAGTGTTGGCAGTGTGACTGTCTGTCTCTGCATGGGTGCATGGGAAGACTGACTGCCCGAGTACAGGAGTTTCCTCCGTCCAGGAGCAGGTTCTGCAGATGCTACAAGCTGCATCCACTTGGAATTAAACAGAACCTGGAGCCCACAAAACTGCTGACTCTAGAGATTTCATTGCAGATTTCCTGGCCTTTTGTACCTCTTGGAAGTCTGGGTGCTGACAGGCGTTTTGCTGGAGGGGAAAGATTAGTATCTCAGGTTTTGTTGTTTGAAGAAAACAAGTAGGATTTGTGGCCACCAAGCTGAATGAGAAAACTTGCAAGTGTGAGGTGTCCTCAGGTGAATGAAAAGGATGTGTTCCTACTAAACCACAAGCACTTATTCAGGAAGTCTCTTTAAGTTCTGTAAACATCATGGTAATTCTTTGGAGTGCTTGCAGTTGGCAAATGGCTTAACTTTTCCTCATGGCTGTGATTTTTTGCTTTTATAAAGTGATTTAATGTTTTAAGGTTTTCGCAAAGATGTTCTACCTTACCTGTGGCATCTTTCAGGAGGGTCAGGCCTCTTGCAGGCTCTTGGCATTGAAACAGTGAGAGTAGCTTGTCCTCTGGGTTGGAGATTTTACTCCGTTTCAGTGTCTAGGCTGAAACATAGCCTTCAGGAGTGGCTGCTTCCAAGCACTTTTGACAGTTCTCTGCTAATTGTTTTGAGCTCTGTCAAAGTCTAAGTCTTCAAACGGGAAGTTTGTGCAACTAATTTGTAAGGTACACGAGCTCTCGTTTTGTTTCTGAGGGCATCATTATGTCACTGCTATTCAAATAGTTTTAGTGCAGCTGAACCTGCCCATGCCTTTTGCTGGAGAGCTGCAGTGTGGTGTGTAGTGTGCACTGACTTTCAGGTAGGTTGCATCTAAATCCACTCCCAGTGATAGAAGAACTGTTGTTCTGCCACGTGTCCAAATGTGTAGCTCATGGAGTTATCTCCTTACACTGACACCTTGCTCCTGCCCAGGTCTGAAGCGTGCTTGGGAAGAGAGCTGAGGATGAGCTGTTGTGCCCAGGAGGGCTTTGCTCTATCTGGTTTTCTTCTGCTTCTCTCATAACCGTCAGCTCTCATCTAGGAGCTGGCCAGGCACCAGGTGGGGATGATATTTTGGTGATGGTGTTCTGCCGCTGGTCACCACTTTTCTTGAGGCTTTTCTTTGTCTATCACCTGCAGTGTCCAGCTAGAGACTTTTCTCCTCCTTGGTGAGGAGAAAAGAGGAAGGCTGGTGTGGGTAGCAATTGTTCTGCTGACTTTTGGGATGTGGATCCTGAAAAAATGACCAAGTTCCCAAGGCTCTATGAATTATGCTTGTGAGTTCTCCTTATCTAATTGGCATTCACTGTGTAGTTTAACAGGAGAGCACGCCTAGGGGTCTGTGTGAAGGCTAAGGACTGATCACAAATGCCCAGGAAATCTGTCATTAAATGTCTGTAGTGCTGACTGGCTGTTTTTCAGGGAACTGGAGTATTTCTTCTTTTGCTTCTTCTGTATTTTTGTGCACTAACCTACTTCAGAGTGCGCGTGTGATTCTGTTAATTACAAGTCAAGCACTTTTATCATCTTATTTATCCTTAAAAAAGCTGTTAGAGAAGGAAAGCAGCTTCTTTGCTTCTGTGAGCCAACTGATTAAGCAGAAGCATGGGTTTTGATCTGGTATTTGCGTCCATGCATATAGCAAAAGAACATATCCTGCATAGTAAGGCATTGGCAGTGGAGCCAAGACATGATGTTTTGTGCTTTTTTTTTTCTTCTTTTTCCCACCACTTCCACAGATCAAAAAGATGGTTCCTGATCACAGTTACCCTCTATCTTTGGCTATATGGCTTGGTCCCTTAGTTCCTGCGTTAATAATATATACAATATATATGTATGAGGTCTCTGTGTGTTTATGGAGTAACTTTGAGGAAGTTCTGTAACAGCTTGTCTCTCTTCCAGTGAATTTCCTCAGTTACTCCTTAATTTCCCAGGGCATAAATGTTGATTCTGTGCTGGCATAGAACAGAGGCACCAGTCTTTGTCCCCATTCCCTCTCCTTTGCCATAATTTCTCATTTTTCTTTTTACTGCTAATACAATCATATTTAGTGCCTCTGTTCTTAAGAGTATATGTTGGCTTTTTTTTTTCCCCTTTGATTCTTTCCAAATCTGACTTTCATCTCTGAATGTATTCTTGGTTTTATGACACAAAGTTCCTCTCCTTCCAGTCTGAACTAACAGCTTTTCTGTGCCTACCTCTGAATTAAAAGCGTTCCAGCTGAACTTTCTAATCTCTAATCTCCATCAGCTCCACCTCCAAGTCAGGTTGGTGCTGTCCTGGCTGTTAGCATTGCAGAGCTGGGTTTTTGGAGTACCATTTTCTCTGTCTCAGACAACCACAGCGTAATGGTACTGAAACTGCAGCAGCTGCACTTGTTCTCCTGGTTCTTCACAGGATCCGTCACCGTATCTTTCTTAGTTGAGGAGTTTGTCCCAAAGATTATTTCCTCCTTTCTCTGCTCTTGTTTGGGTCTAGAGGTCTGCATCTCACCCCCAACAGGCTCTGACTACCAGCCTACAGCGGGAACTTCTTCATTTTAACATTCCCCCATGCTGTTTCAAGCCCTCTTCTCTTCTTCAGCCCTGCCTTGATACCCTGGACCTGTGCAAGCTGCTGGAAGCAGAGACTGCTGTCAATGACTGGCAGTGATGGGACATGCAGAATGGCCTTGGCTGAGCATCCCTACTGCATCCACATCGTCACCTGCATCTACTGCAGGGCTGGGGTGTTGTCACAGCTCTGTCCTTCCTTAGCAGGGCTTGGAGCTGGGAGAAATGCTGAACCTGCCCCTCCCAGCAGCACACTTGCTGTAGGGAATAAGCTTTTGGGTTTTGTTACTCTGCTAGAGCAGCTCAAGCAAGGTTCTTTGGTTTCATTTGACAAGTTAAGCCTCAAGTCAGCAATGAACTTAAGCACCTGCTTAAGTCTGAACTTGTGTTAAGCCACTGGGCTTTGACAGTGTGTTTAAAGTTAAGTCCATGCTTAATTGCTTTGCTTAATAAAACTGGGATTACAGGTGCGGTGAGCCAGTATCAGAGGCTTGACAATTCTGCTTCCCTGCTCCCTGAACAGAGTAGAAGGCTGTAGAGGTGAAATCCAACTCCAAAACATCAGAGGGAATTTTTTTCCTGGCTATTACAGCAGCTGTGCCAGCAGCTCTGCTGCAGTACAAATCACATGGCAGGCCGAGATCATCTCTGTGCTTGCTGAACACCGTGCCCTCCTGGTGCCTTATCACTTTAGTGAAAGGAACAAAGTCTCAGGCTATTTACTGGAGACACTCTCCTGTTTCTCCAGCAGTTTCCAGATCCCTCAGTTTCTCCAACACAGAGCGCACACAGTGGGACAGACTGGAAAGCAGAGGTCGAGGAAAGGAGCTTTGAAGTTTTTGGTGATTTCTTTGAGCTGGGGAATCTGGAAAGGAGGCAGTGGTGCCTGAAACAGCTTCTGTGTGTCTTAAGAAGATCTGAGGGCTATTTCAGCTAGCAGCAGCAGCCCCTGTGCCAGCTGATAGCTTTTGGGCTTCAGGGACTTGAGATGCATGTTTAGCTGGAAAAAGTATTTCAGAGCTTGGCTTGTTTGGGCCAGCCAAGATGGGAATGTGGCCACTGCTGCAAATATATCTTGGGAGGACAAACAGGGAGATGTAGGAAAGAAGAGTTATTTAAACTGAAACAGCATGTTGGCACATATACAAATGGGTATGAACGGTCCATGAATAAATTAAGGCTGAAAATTAGCAGAAGACTGGATTGATGGCCAAAAATTCCCTCCCAGCCTTATGTATCTAAACAAGAATTA